TTCCCAGATGAAATAAAGGATTTAAAATTGAAAGGTTCAATCAATGGTAAACTATCACCTTTAAGTCCTTTTCTAGATTCCAAGGGTGTTCTTAGAGTTGGAGGTAGATTAAATCAATCCGATCTCAATTATGATCGTAAACATCCAATTCTATTAATTAAAAATCATATCGTGACTAATCTTATAATTCGAGATCAACACTTAAAATCATTACATGCGGGCACGCAAGCCACTCTCAATGCAATTCGGAGCAATTATTGGATTATTGATGGTAAAAATGCCGTAAAAAAATTGATCTATAAGTGTGTAATATGTCGTCGCGCGAAACCGCTTCTTCCGACCTACATAATGGGTGAATTGCCCAAAAATCGTATTGTTTTCGAACGCGCCTTTAAACATACTGGCATCGATTATTGCGGTCCATTCTATATCAAAGAGAAGAAGTATAGAAATCGAATCAAGGTTAAAATTTATGTCGCTGTTTTTGTATGTTTCACTACAAAAGCTGTGCACTTGGAAATTGTTAGTGATTTAACCACTGCTGCCTTCTTAGCGTGTTTGAAAAGATTTTTTTCGCGACGTGGATTAAGTTCCGATCTTTACTCAGACAATGCTACGAATTTTAAGGGTGCAAATCGCGAAATTCTTGAAATCTATGAATTTTTAAACAACGCGGAAAATATGCAGAAAATCACAAGCGATCTTGCAAACTACGGAAAAGTAAATTGGCATTTTATACCTCCTCGGGCTCCACACTTTGGTGGTCTCTGGGAGGCTGCTGTAAAATCGTTTAAAAATCATTTTGTACGCGTTGTCGGAGAGAGAATTCTAACTTATGAAGAATTCACCACGTTTGCAACTGAGATAGAGGGTATTTTAAATTCACGTCCTCTAACTCCAATGTCCTCAGATCCAAATGACCTAGTCGCTCTAACTCCTGGTCATTTCCTTATCGGTGATTCAATAACAAGCGTGCCAGAACACAATTTGATGGACATACAATCAAATAGATTATCATCTTGGGAACAAGTCCAACAAATAAGACAACACTTCTGGTCTCGTTGGAACAAAGAGTATCTCAACAAATTGACAATTCGTAGGGGGTGGCATAAAGATGCCACTACTGATATAAAAATTGGTACATTAGTAACAATACGTGATAATAATTTGCCGCCTATGAGATGGATTCTTGGTCGCATAACAGCTGTCCATCCAGGCAATGATGAGATCATTCGCGTAGTAACGGTCAAAACGGCTAATGGGGAATATAAACGTAGTATTAAAGGATTATCCCCTCTACCAATTGACATTCAATAATAAAAAAGGTGTTTGAGATACTCTTGATGATGAAATTAAAATTCATTTCTTTCAATTATCCTTCGTCATTTCCATATAAACAAAGAAATTTTTATTATGCATTATACATACAATTTCTTTATATAATCAAGGTTATCTATGTTTTCTGATATCATATGTTAGATCTATATATCAATGTTTCTTTCTTTTACTACCGTAACTTAGATAAATTTTGAAGACGACCCTTCAAGGGGGCCGGCATGTTGAGACCCTCAACAGATTTGGAAATTGTATTTATCCTTTTTTTTGCCTTTATTATATTTTTTGAAACTTTAGTTATCCCTAAATGTGAGATATGAAAATATTTGAAGATTAAGTTTATTACTTATACCGAAAATAATTTAGAATTTTTGTAAACTGCTTGAACGTTTCGAACTTTTTGTACCTTTTAGGATTATATTTATCTATATTGCCTTAGTAATAAATCTGTAAACTTATAAATCGAAATTAGCGGAAGTTTGGGTTATCTGCACCACGCCTTGTCGTTAAGGGATTACGTTTATGATCGTGTTTACGATTTAAGGATGCATCTGCAGAAATATACGTCGAAAATGGCTAAAACCTGTATCGCCATTTTATTTTACTCCCACTATTTTCTCAGCCCCCACTATGTATTTTGAGTCTTTGACACTTTTTGTACAGCTGACTCAGGTCAGAATCCTTCTAACAGTCTTAGGTTAAGGATCTATGTCTTTAAAATAAACGTATTATTATAGTTGAAATTCTTAAACATTTTATTCAATAACCTATGTACTTAAATTAATTTAAATTCTTTAAATTAACGATATATTTATTGAATTAAAGTCGCGTATAACACTTGACAACGAAAATCAAGTTTTTTAACAAAAAAGGTTATACGAGTCACAACATAAGCAATGGGAGTAATTTAAGGATTTATTTATTAGAAGGTTACGCCATATCGTGGAAGAATCTTCCAAAGAATTTCAAAGATTGAACACCTAGCCTGAACAACTCAGACTAGAATTATCTTTATGTTTTTACGAGGGACGTGGAAAATCTGCATAATTCTCGGTATCCAAGACAGATAAATGGAGCCTAGTGCTTTGAGATTATGTGGGGATGACTGTTCTTGTTCTGGTCGACCTAATAAAAACCTCACCCTTTGGCTGGACTAATTCTCATACTACGGAACTGCCGTCAAGCTTTAAACTTTGTAGATGAAGATCCCTAGGATCTCGCTATAGCGAGCGTTTACGTTGCTGATCTTGCTGGCCTATTTATTCTTCGTTCGTGAAAAAGGTCTTTTTGGATTCCTTCAGGGCCGTTCTGAAGACTTCACATCCTCCGCTACCTGCGTTATGGCTAATGTTCGCCTTATCGACATATTTTTCTCTGCATAAGAAGCAGCTTGGGTTTCTACTGCAGTTTGCAAACTTATAATCTACTTCATCGCACTTGAAGCACGCAGTCAATCTGTCCACTGCCTTACAAACTCTCCCTATGGGATCGTACGCCAGGCATCGGTGGCACCGAACGACCATCATCATTCTTTATATTGGGCAACACATAAAACTAATCGTTATGCGTCCAACTCTCTCCAGCCTCTCTGCCTTCTCTGGGTCGGTGACTACAACAGTGAACTTCATTCCTCGTTGGTTGTGTCCTAGGACAGTCACTTTCCTATTTCCTGGCTTCTGGAGCACTTCAGCCAACGCCTGCTAGACCTCTTCTTCCTGGGTAAGTGAATCCAGGGTGTCGATTATGTAATTTGATTTGAAGTCAAAATCAAATTCATTTTAACGTCAATGTCAAATTTAATTCAACAAATTCATTGTTTTATTTAACTTAGACGTTAAATTAAAATTTCATTTTTTATTTCAATTTAAAGTCGCATTCAAATTTATTTTTTGATAGCAATTTGACGTATTGCAATCAAAAAATAAATTTGACTTTGACGTCAAAGTCAAATCAAATTACATAATCGACTCTCAGGTCGCGGATCTCTAGCCTGACTTGTCGATCTACGGTCTACACTTTCCCCTTGCTTCCAATCGCTTTGGTGGCCTCATGGGTGAATGCCTCCTTATTGGAGTTTTCTCCGATTTTGATCCCCCCAAAGTTTGTTCAGTACGTCGGTATATGTTGTTCCTGTTGTGACTCGGATCACCATTGTAGATCCGCTCGTTGCTTTCTTCTTACTGGTTTTTACTGTAACCTTAAGAATCTGGGTTCCCCCGTAGTATATCCTCCTTGTAGCATTGAATGCTGCAGTATCCAAGGTGTCCAATAACGCAGCATTGTTGTCACTCTAACTGGAATTAGCTTTATTCTTACTTTCAGTCAACACTGATTAAAAATTTGATATCAGTGCTTATTCCAACCTTATTGCATGTCGGATACAATTGTCATTACTTTGGAGACATTAATCTTGAATTAAGATTAAAGTTTAAGGTTTGGATCTATGTTACATTTTTGCTTTGCTTATTTTACTAAGAGTTAACTAATATTAACCAAGGTTCAACCAAACCTGAGCAAACTTAAACTAATTGTCATGTTTCACGTGGATGTGCAATGTTTCAAAAGCTGAATTAAGTAAAAATAAAATGATCACACAAAGACATCAACTCAAACACAAATTACAAAAAGTCGTACGGACATAGAGTGAGTAGCGAACCCAGTGATTTTTGGTAATGCGTCAATATATCGATCGCGAGCGCTATGATCAATATAAGGTACTATAGCTTTAAAGTTTTACGTGCGAAATCTTGTACAGGTATACCCACACAGGCTCAATGATCGCGGAGCCGAGACAACATTTATGAACCTGATGGTCTTGTCATTTGATGATTACCACAAGGCTAGTAAGTACCTGGCGGACTCTCGGTAGGGGTTCATTTTCAATCATTTTCAATCTCTAATTCAACAAGTGAGAGATGAAGCTCACATTTATAATCGCCGACCAAGAAGAGAAGTAAAGGCTGGAGCATTTGGGGTGCATAAAGATTAGTTTTATTTCCGTTAAGGTCATCAAACGTTTGGAAGCATGGGGAAGGTGCAGACCGTAGATCGACAGATCACACTGGTGATCCGCGACCTGGATTGTCTTACCCATGAAGAAGAGGACCAACAGGCGTTGGAGGAAGTGCTCCAGGAAACAGGAAAGTGACTGTCCTAGGACACAATCGACGAGGAATGAAGTTCGCGGTTGTAGTCACCGACCCAGAGAAGGCGGACAAGGTGGAAAAATTGGGACGCATAATGATTGACTTTATGTGTTGCCATATCGCAGGTAGCGGAGAATGCGGATTCTTTAGAATGGCTTTTAAGGTGTCCAAGAAGACTCTTGCACGAATAAAAAATAAATAGGCCAGAAAGATCGACAACGTGAACGCTCTCTATAGCGATATCCTAAGGATCTTCATCTACAAAGTTTAAAGCTTGACGGCAGTTACGTAGTGTTGGGATTAGTCCAGCCGAAAAGTTATGCAAATTTTTCATTTCCCTCGTGAAACAAAAAAAACCTAGAAATACAGTCTCTACGTAATTACCTTGGAAGTAGGCCTCCAAGGCTTAAAATTTTCAGTATCTTCGTAAGACAAAAAAATATCATCCTGAATGATGTTGTTTTATAAATGATTCAAGGATTATCAGTTCACAAAGAAAAACAAGAAAGCTGTAATTACCTGATTTTCACCGATGACCTGCGAACTGACGCTTCCTTGAATGTACTGGAGTTCTTGTTGGGAAATCCTTGGATGAGAGGCAGGTGTGTCAAAGGCAAGAAGGAACCAAAAGATACACCAAATAACGCCAATGGTTCCTGTTGTATAGAAAACGGTACGCCATCCAAAGTGGGCAATGAGAAATCCGCATAGTGGATAGGTCAAGCCAATGCCGATGCTGAACCCTGCATAAGGATAATGTAGGTGTTAGGTGTTGCTCACCCCATGACCCGGAAGAAGCTGAAATATGATGCAAGACGAATGGTTCCAGGATTGTACCACTCGTCAATTCTGATGGGTTGTTTCTCGAACAACATCAAAAATTCTGAAAAGCGATTCGAATGAATAATTTAGTATGAGATGATGAGTTCTTACGATGATGAACCTGTGAATCGTGGGACAATGAAACTTCTATACCTGCAACTGATAAAATGATAAATGCCCTTATAATTTACACAGTAGATTTTCTTATCCATGTTCAATAAAATTTCTTCCTTTACATATAGCTAACGTCAGCTAAATCCCCTTAACTTTCAACAAATTACATCACTTATCAAAATAATTTGAAATTTTTTTCTAATTTTTATTTAAATTAACAAAGATATTTAAAATCAGAATTAAGGCAAAAATGTAAATTATTTAATAAACTTATAATTCATTTTTTTTGTTAGTTTAAAAATTACACGGTTTAAAAAAATGATTCATGTATCGATAAGTGATGTCATTATGCGAAATGAGCTTTTTTTTACTGCGTTTAAAAAAATGTAGTAATGGAAAATTTCTAATCAAGTAACAAATTTTGCAAAATCATGAAAATTACAAATGATTATTAACGCCAATGATGATATATTTCAATCAATGTTTCCTGCAAATGTATTATGAAGATAAATAATTATAAGTTACAAATTTTGAAAATATAATTTTCTAATTGATAATATTTTGAATCCTGATTCTGTGATACTTACAAAAATTATTTTTGGAATATATTTTTATAAAATTAGTAAATTTTCAGTGACCGCGAAAATGATATATAAAAAATTGTGCCAGCTTCGTTAACCCTTACGCATTCCTGATAAATAATATACCTACATTGAATCATCAATAAAAAGCAGAAAAAAATAAAAGCCAATAGTTGTTGAATATTAAAATGAATGATTCAATTTGAAACAAAATTTTTGAATAATGTAAATTTTAAAAATGATGTTCATTGTTTGTAGTAGAAATCGTCGGCTGATTATACCAGTTGAGTTATACTCTGCCATTCTCATGCTGTTGAGCGGTTGTTGTTGAGTATACCCAACGAGCCGGTGAATTCAACAATTGTAGATATCTGAACAAATAAAAACCAATGTCAATCAAGTAAACAGCAATTGTATGCTCTCGCAAAGTTTAGATCCAGATTTGAATTTTGACTGAAAAAAAAGGAAATGATATTTTTTTGCTGACTGAAAAAAGTGCCACCGTTAGTGCTCCTTAAAATTGAATCAGTTAAAATTAAACTGAGAAATTAAAAGAAAAAAGTATTGAATCTGACTTTTTGTGTTAGAAAATGATTTTGTTGTTGTTAGATTTGACCAAAACAAAGAGAATCAGTAAATTTTAACTGATTTAGATTTAGAGTAAGAGCATACGGAATTTATTTATTAGCTTTCCTAACATTCCAAGAGAATATGTGCACCTGCTGGAATTTAAAAAAAAAGTCATTTCCATTCAAGATTTTAATTAATTATGTATTGAAGTTTCACTGTAACACACAAAGAACGTTAAACGTCGCAGTATCGATATATTGATGAAATATAAAACGTATATAATAGAATTTACCTTGGAAGGAAGACATGAAACGAGAACGTTCTACAGGCGGTATCCAATGTCCAACGATTGCGTACATGGCAGGCCAAGTTAGTCCCTACAAATTTTACAAAGATTTAATATAGTTGATAAAGATTAATATCTAACTGTTTTTTTAATAATTAAATAGAAATTAAAAATCATTATCCTGCTTAGGGGCTAATTAAGAATTAGCTGAATAATTTCCAAAAAGATAGAAAGGCACGATCTATTTATTACTATTAGTTATTTCTTAAGGCCAGGTCAGGAGAAGGATATCTCATATAACGGTAGAGAAGGGATAGGACTAATTACGTTAGAAATAATATGAAAAGAGGGGTAGTATTAAATTAGACAGTGAGGTGAAAAGGTCAACCAGAGCTAGAGGAGCTCCTGAAGGAAATGAAAGTAAGAGGTCCAAGGGAAGACGGGTTCTCACCAATGTCAGCAATGTAAGTACAATATCATTTTCAATAAGTTTAAGTAACTTTAAACAATACGGTACAAGGTCCATATATTTAAAGTGAAGGCGATCATTGCCTTATTATGATAAGGCGATCTGGGCCTTATTTGATGACGACAGGATTCCTCCAGGTATTGTCAGAAATAAAATAATTCTAATTTAAATAATATTGTTTTCAATTTGTTATGTATGTACATACGTTTATATATATATATATATATATATATATGAAGTGTATTAATAGTGTATATTAATTATTAAATAAAAAATTAACGATATACAAAGTATAATTTCCTTTCATTAGCCTTCCAGACACATTTCTACCACATGCTTTCAAATGTTCCGGTTATTAAGATATTCCATTTTCAAAGATAACAATCATTTACTCACACTGGCAGCTCCTTGAATGCTTCGAAGTGCTATCATAGCTCCATAATGAAACTCTGTTGCGAATGGTATTAGTAAACTACAAATTGCAGTAAGTAATTGTGATCCACCAAAAACTGTTTTTGTGCCAAAATATTGTGTAAGAACTCCACCAACAACTTGGGAAAGAATGTAACACCAATAAAATGTACTTATAATTGTCGTTTGAACCGCTGGACTCCAATCTAATTCTCCACTGACATCCTATAACATATTAGAATAAGTTTTGGTAATTTTTGAATTTTATAATAATACAACAATTTTAACAAGAAATTGATAAATATAGGTTAAATTAAATCATATGTACTTCTTCTTAACATTATCTCCTTTTTTTCTAAGTCACTTTTAGTTTTAGGGTTTTCAGAGTAGCTAATTAATGTACAGATGAATAAAAAATTTACACTGACTTTCAGGATCTTGTTTTTTTTTAATAAAAATGCATACAACAAAAATTGACATATTCTATTTCTAACGTAAAATTATTTGCTCTTTCAGATTCTGTGGTTGGATAATAATAAATATTACAAAAGTTTGCAGATTACTAATTTGAAATCAGTTTTTAAACATTCAAAATAGTGGACAAATTTTAATAAAAATAATAGAATTCACTTCAAACTTGTTACTCAAGGGTTACTGGGGTAGCTGATTACGAATTCGATGATAGTTTTTCAAAATTTAATACGGTGATAGAATTTTGAAAATTGTCTGAATTCACATGAAAATTATTACTCGGGGGTTTTTTGGTGTTAATGATTACAAATACGATGTTAGTTTTTCAATATTCAAAATGGCAGATCCAATATGGCGGTCAGAATTTTAAAAATTGTTTGAATGCACTTGAAACTTGTTCCATGGGGTTTTTTAGGGTCGCTAATTACAAATTCGATTTTAGTTTTTTAAAATTCAAAATGGCGAATCCAATATAACGGTCAAAATTTTGAAATTTGTCCGAATTAACTTGAAAGTCCTTACTCGTGAGTTTTTGGGGTCGTTGATTACAAATACGATGTTAGTTTTTCAAAATTCAAAATGCTGGGTCCAATATGGCGATAGAATTTGGAAAACTTTCATCGGATTCGATTGAAACTTGTTACTCAGGGGTTATTGGGGTCGATGATTACGAATTTGAGGTTAGTTTTTCAGAATTCAAAATGGTGGATCCAATATGGAGGTAAAAATTTTGAAAATTGACTGAATTTACTTGAAATTTATTACTCGTGGGTTTTTGTGGTCGCTGATTACGAATCTGATGTTAGTTTTTCAAAATTCAAAATGGCGGATCTAATATGGCGGTCAAAAATTTTAAAAATTGTCTGATTTCACTTGAAAATTGTTACTCGGAGATTTTTAGGATCGCTAATTATGAATCCGGTGACTGTTTTTTTTAAATTCAAAATGGCTTAAAGGTTTTTGGAGTCGTTGATTACTTATTTAATATTAGAATCGTAATTAGCGACGCTAAAAATCTCCAGGTTAAATGTTTTAGGTAAATTCGATCAATTTTTAGAAACTCTTCCGAATTTTTCATTTTAAAATTTAATTTTAAATTCATAGTCAATGACTTCAGGAATGTTCAAGTTTTCGAATTTCAAGGAAATTTGTTCTAGGAAATTCCTTGAATTATGAAATTTTTTTTTTGATAGAAATATCAATAATAATAAATATTGTTAATATTATTGATAATAATAAATATATATTATTATATAATATATAATTTCTACTTTGCTACAATATTTTTATAAACAAACATGGAAATTCGCTGAATAAAGCAAAATGCAAATTATGAAAGCGCGTTATCTTTCTATGTAATATTGATTCAATTGTTTATAAAAGTATGCATTACAAAGGTTAACAGCATTGTTCATTAATCAGGTATGATCAGATATACAGATAAAAATAAAATATCTAGGTAACTGTAATTGGAATTTTTTCCTCAGAAATCATTAAAGTTATAGCATGCAATGCTACATTTTTTTTTTTTTTAATTATAAATTTTTAATTTCAAAAATAATTGTAAGTAATTTACCAATATTATTAAAAAAAAATTTTAATATTAAATAATTTATATGTATATTAAATTATATATAAATTTTATGTAAAATATAAATTTTTAATTAAAAAATAAAAGAGAATTTTTGATATTCGATAAACGAACCTTGGGAATTTTTTTTGTTGAATTATTATCCAAGTTAAAAGAAGAAATGTTAGATGATGATGATGATGCATAACATAAAGATGATGTTGTGCTATCGTCCTCTGAATTTGGATCTTTTACCATGGCCACTATTGCTATATTTATGTCCATTCTCATCATAAAAGAGACAAGGAATCCAGTAAATGAGAGCAAATAAAGAACTACTCGAGCTGGTATCATGTCTGAAAGATAAAAATAAAATAATAAAAAAAAATTCTCACTTTTTTTTGTATTATTATATATTTATAAAAATTCTTTGCTAATGATTTTAACTTACCGAATAGTTTACGAATAACGTGCTTTGATGACTGATCACGAATGTCAGGATCTTCGTAACTAAAATATTTTTACGTCATATACTGATTACATTAAAATTCAATATCTTACATTCTAAACAAAAAAAAAAAAATGTTTATAAAAAAAATGTTTTACTTTGGAATTTTTTTTTAGAAAAAAACATTTAAAGTTAAATTTTTAAAATAAATTAATATTATTAAAATAAAATCACTTAATTAAATTTTAATTACTTGTAATAAGAAATAATTTTTTTTTTTAATTATTTTTTTCCAACAAATGATAAAAAAAAATTACCTTTGAGATTCTTCCATTTTGTCGATTGAGGCTGATGATTCTTTTCGGAAGAAATTTGAGAATTTTCTACCCACCAAAGATCACCTGGGGTTCTGGAAAAATAAAAAATAAAGATATAAATTAAATTTTTAAAATAAAAATTGTAGGAGAAAGAAAATTTAATTTATTATTATTATTATTGTAGTATTTTTGAAAATTCAATAATGTTCACATAATACGTTAATTTTAAAAATAAAAGCTCATTTCCTGGAAAAAAAATAACTAATAGGTGTAATGCAATAAGAGAACAATTCTTCGGTAAATATCAGTACATTATTTTATATAACAGCTCATTTGAAAAATAATTGCCACAATTAAACTCAATTTCCTTGAGATTTTTTTTTACCACCGCGCGTTCATTATGTTAATATTAAATAAATAAACTTATTTTATATTTTTATATATTATAATTTTATAAAATTTTTAATTTTTACAATAGTTTTTTTCAGTAAATTTTCTTATAAATTACAATTTTATTTAATTAATAATTTTTAAATCAGATTTAAGTATTTTTTTTTAGTAAAATGTAATTTTTTTTTTAATTTAGTGTTATAATTCTCTGTAAAAAATATTTTTCCCCCAATGGCAATATTAAACGTGTCATTTAATAATAATGCAATTTTAAGCACTTGATAAAAAATTCCAGAACGAAACTCATAAATGAAGTCTTGAGATTCTTTTGAGAGGGAGAGAGTGAGAAAGTAGGCAAAGGGCGGGAAAATAATTCTAAATACGCAAAGGTCACAGGTAAATATGATGAGTAAATTTTCCCTTTTTTTTTATTTGCATAATAGAAATATTTTTTATTACTTTTATGAATATTTATATATTTTATATTTCTTTTTTTTAATTTTGAAAAATAATTTTTTGCCCCTACTATAAAAAAAAAAAAAAAATGATAAAATATTAATTCTATGTAAATCGACAAGATTCGAAATTAATTTACGAGCTAATGAATTTCCACATCTAAAGTAAATAAAATAAACAATAATTAATTTATTTATTAAGTAATAAAAATTGAAAAATAATTAATTATTATTTAAATTACCTTAGATTTGTAAATTCCTTAGGAAAAGATTTACTTGAATTGATTGATATTTGTCATTTTTTAATTAAAAAAAAAAAATCTCAATTAAAAATAAATTTAAAAAAGGTAAAAAAATACAATTTTAATTTTTTCAGAGTTGAGAAAAAAATTTATATAAGTAATCGTGTGAAATTAAAATCAACAAAACTTTAATTATACACTATAAAATGAAATAGCACATTGTATAAAACACACAAGTGAATAGTAAATATAACCTTTGAGCTATATATAATCAATAATATTGACAATTGCACGTTTTATTTCGCTAACTCATAGAATTATCGTTTAATTTGTAATTTTAATTATGAATTTTTATTTATTATTTAATTATTAGCATTTATTTATTAATTATTAGCAATTTTTAATATTTTGCAAAAATTCTATTTATTTTTATTACACAAAAAAAAATATTAAATAATTTTCTAATGGAGCTAAACTTAAATATAACTAGAGAGTTATATGTTTCAATCAAATTTCTTCTTTGACATGTAAAATTAACTAATAAAAAAAAATAAATTAATATTCACAAATTGAAAAATTTTAAAATTTTCTTTTAGTAGTTTTATAGAAATACGAGACTAAATAACCACAATGTTATAATAAATGCAAAATTCACGTTTCCATTGCAGTAAAATAACCTTCTATTCTTGTAGAAAATAAAATCTGTTTTTTTTTTTGCAATAACATTAGTTTTCATTTACAATGAAATATATCTACATTAATTAACATTAATCCTTCACCAACTTTTATGGAAAAAAAATGTCTAATTTTACTATTAATATATTATTTTGAAAAAATATGATAAAAAAAAATTGTATTTTATACTAATTTGTAAATTTTTATTGCTATTATTATTGAATTTACAATTTAGAATCAATATATGAAATTTTATCCAATCTATATTTAATTCAAATTTATTCTAAAATTTATACTACTTACGACGTATTAACTAATTTACATAAAATTACTTTTTATATTCATAGAAATTGTCTTTTATTTCTCTCTTTTTGTGTCATTAATTTTCAATTCAGAATGTAATTTATCAAAATTATTATTACAATTATTTTTATTTAGCGAAAATTTACTAAAAAAAAAATAAAAATTTCTTTTTTATTATTTTACTGAAAAAAATAATTATTGGAACATTCTTTTTTTTAAATATTATTATTACTGTTGCATTATAATAATTATATTGTAATTATTGTATTATATTTTATTTTATAATAATTATAATATATATAAAATATAAATTCTAAATTGATAAATAAATATTATTGTTTATAATTTATTAAATTAATTTAGTTATTTCAGTTAATTTAATAATAATCAATTACCTTATATAAATTTAATGTTTTTTTTTTTATTGCACTATAAAGTGAATATTTTATGTGCACACGCGGTTTATATTTTGTTGTTATTTATCCACAAAATATACGTGATGAATAGTTCCAAGTATTTTTTATGTTATTATTATCCATTATTATAATAATGTATATCGATATTAAAAACTTCATCACGTAAATAAATACTTATTTATGACACTTTCAATTTTTTTTTTTTTTTTTTGAGCTGAATAATGAATATCTTACACTTTTAACTCATGAAACATGTAACACGACCTGACGATACACGATGACAGCGAACTCAATGAAGACCGATAGAATTGTTCGAACTGAAAATCCATGATATAACAACGAACCAGTGACTGCGATGACTATCATTTAATATGTGTGCCCCACCATATTACTTATAATGTTGTTCATTATGAACTATCAATTGGTCTTGTGATTTAATATTCTTTCAAAAAATTCCAATAATTAATTCGCTACACTTTTATTATTATTAATGAGACAATTAAATTACTTTTGTTTTTATTTTCATTAAAGAAAAAAAATGATTTTAATAATATAATTAATGCAGAATTTTATGATAATTGAATTAATTAACAAATTAATAATAATAAATAATAAATAATAATAGTAAATTTTTAATTTAAATTAACTATAGAAATTGAAAAAATCACCATCAAGTTATAAATAATTAATTATAATAATAGTATTATTGTTAAAAAAATTGATTACAAATTTTTATTGTTCCATTTATATTGTAAAAAAATTAATTATCCTAGTGAGCTCAAAAGTTTTAGACGGCATTTACATTTATTTTTTTATTAAATTAAATTAATAATACATATTTATTAATTAAATTTATTAAATATTTAAGAAATAATTTTTTTATTATTTGCTAATTATCAGTAAATTTTTATTTACAATTTGTTTACAAATGTTTACAATTCATTGTAATAAATATTAATAAATAAATAAAAATTATAATTTTTGACGTGTAATTAATTTACTTTTTTTTCAATTAAAAAACTAATTAATGATTAAAATAATTTCATTTATATGGAATAAAAATTAAATTCCCCAAATTGAATGTTGAAAAATGTGTCAAAGAAGCAATTGAATAATAAATTTAAAGCACATGAGAGAGTATATTTGCATGTGGAATTGCAAATTAATTATTATTGCATCTCGTGACTTATCCGGTAACAATCTCATGATGTACAATAGATCACGAGATAATGATTTGTTTAGTCTGACTCAATAAAATTAAAGTGATTGTCAGTGTAAACGTATTAAATTAATAAAGACATCAACTAAAACAGCGATGTAATTTAACTTTAATATACAAAGTTTATAATATTTAACATTAAAGTTAAATTAAATTTAAATAAACATTAATTAACTATTTATGAAATATTAACTGTATAACAAGTTAACTTTTTTGCAATAATTAATAATAGTTAGCTTTTAATTTAAATAAATAATTTTGTAATTTAATGATATTAACATATTGAATAAAAATTCGATATTAATTATTGTTAATTAAAATTTTTTTTTCAGAAACTAAATTTATGAAATAATTTTGTTAAAATTGTTTTTCTTTTTCTGTATTATAAATTAAGAAAATATTTTCGTTAAAAATAAACTTTGATGGAATAAAAAAAAGTGCGATAAGAAATTAATTCTGTTATAGATTGACAATATTTTTTTCCTCAGACTTTTTTTGATATAAATCTTGTCTGTTGCGAATTCATAAAGGGAAAGCAATTTAGTAAATTGATAAATATCTGTTGTGAAAAAATTGATTTTAATTTTTAATTCAACTAGATTTACAATGATTAGTACTATAATGTAGTGTAAAGTTAAAATCATTCTTATTTTTGCAACTTCGATATAATTATTTTAAATTGAAAGTGTACCTAATTATCTTAAATTTAAATTTTTTATTAAAAATATGTTAAATAATTAATTGTTATAAAAAAAATATAATTATTTTGTAAAAATTAAGAAATCTTCGTAATCAAATGTTTTATTTTCATATTGATTCCTAATTTTTAATCTTTGAATTCTAAAGATATTAATGATTCTATTTAGTAGTTGCTAATAAACTTCTCTGTTCCTTCAATAAATAATTTTTTCAATTTATGAAATAAAATTTTACTCAAAAATATTCCCACGTTATTGGATATGAATTGAAACTTAAATATATATATATATATTTATAATTAAATAAAATTAATGATAATATTTAAATAAATAAATTATTATTTTTAAATATTTATGTTATGTTCTCACGGGCGTAACAAAGTCAATCAAGAAATTGATTCTTGAGTAAGGAATCAAAAAAACGTTCATAATTTTTAAGCATTAATTGAGAAATTATTCAATTGAGAATACAGGAATAATGCATTTGTTTAATTAACTTCGTTAGGTGTATTTGATAAAAGAACACAATAATTTGCATATTCAAGCAGCAATAAATTCCAACAGAGAGATCACTACATTTATTGTCTATATGACTAACTATTCCAAATTGTCCAAGTGAGGCAGCGCCATCTACATTGATACTAAAATTTTGGAAAATTTTCAACAGCCTTTTCTTGAAAACAAGATGGTAAAA